TTCGTATGCCTCATTCACGCTTAGCGAAACGTATATCTCCGAATGCTCCAGTTATGTTTACCTAGGTCGTGAAATCAATATGATGCTCCAGAGCTGAGCAGAAGGAAACGAGCAGCTTGGGGAGCTTTCAAGAGCATCGAGGATGTAGTGAAGAAAACATGGAACACCCGATTTCGTGCCCACCTTTTCGACTCAACGGTACTTCCTGCCCTAACGCATGCGTCAGAAACCTGGTCGCTGTGTAAGAGGATGTAAGCTCACCCAGCGTTATCGAACGCGCAGTCGAAAGGACGATGCTAGGAGTATTCCGTTTAACACAAGTAAAGGATGGGATCCGAAGCTCCAACCTGCATCAACGATCAAAAATCAAAGACGCCGTTCTTTACGCCAAACAGTCGAAGATAAGGTGGGCCGGACACGTAATGCCTATGAATGACAACCGATGGAAAAGAGCCGTTAGTGAGTGGATTCCTCGGGATATCAAACGTAATGCCACCGACCGGATGGTCAGAGTTCTTCACAAAGAGTCTAAAAGAAATATATGATGCTCGACGAGTCCCTACAGCGAGCAAATCCCAGTGGGCTACTCTTGCACGCAATGGGGAAAATGGAAGATTTACTGGCGCCTGCTCGAGTCACTCGGCGATCTACGGGACTTCAGGTGATACAGATGACTACATATATATATATATATTCATATACATGTACCAAACTTATAACTCGGTAATTATATCTAATAAGAAATTAATAATAGCAATAACACCTTTACGACCTTGCAGATCTTGTCAGCAATCAAAATCGATTGTATTGTCGTTAATGCGACTTTTAACACGTGGCCACAGGTGGTAATGAACATGGAGATGTCAGAATCTACAGGTCTACAGATTTTCGCTAACAAGGTTTAAAATTTATTATTCGAGCCCATAAAAGTCAAATTTTTTTTGAAAGTTATAATATCGATGAACGTGAAATCATTATTACATTTTCTGCTCTCACTTCTAGTGGCAGAGCGTAGTGTCTTTTACAAGATTTTCTAGTTATAAACTTCAAAAATCTTCTAGATACTAAAAATTATCGGAAATTATTAGAAAATTGTCTTCATCTCTTCCGTTGGGTAAATAACATTCAATCTTTTGTTCAGTAGTTCGCTGGTTGTTCGTATTCTATTCTTTTATGGGAAATGGTTGCTTGTAAGAAATGCAGAAACCAGTTCAACATAGGAAAAGAATAGTTACTTTTTATTCGCATCCTGTTCTTATTTTCATGGAATGAAATGGTGTGAAGTACAACCACAATGATGCTGAGATGTTTGCAAAGCTCTGGACCGCAGGTGTCTGCGGTTGGGAACGAACTCGCTGTTACACCTTCCTGGGGCTAACGTGCTCACCACTGTACCATACAGTGGTGAGCACGTTAGAGCACGAAAAACGAACATTTTGGGTACTTAGGAGCGGAAGGGTTCAGGATTCTTTAGTCTCCTCAATGGTTGTCGTCTATGTGTTAATGTTGTTTGTAGCGGTTATCTTAGAAGGCGCCGTTCAATCCGTTTTTTGGCATGGACGGTGTGAACCATCTTCCGAACTGCATGGCCAGTTGGAAGAACGGTTGACTCAAAAAATTCCAGTGGCATAGTGGTGAATATACAGGTGATACCTGTATCATTTCTCGTCCCGTTGATCGTCGAATGACTCGAGTGGGTGCCAGTAAATATTCCATTTTTCCTTGTTTCGTGCAGGAAGAGCCCTGTGATCTCTGCTCGCTCTAGGGAATCATTTAGCATCACGCCTTTCTACTAGTTTTTCTCGAGAAGAACTTTGGTCATTGAATTGGTGGTCTTCCTGCAGCACGTTTGACATTCCGAAAAATCCAGTCACTAACGGGTCTTGTCCATCGGGTGTCGTTCAAACGCGTTACATGTCCGGCACACATTATCTTGGACACTTGTTGAATAGAGCGATGGATAGATAGAAAGATGAAATGCTGCTGTTATAGCTATGTGCTAGACAGAAGAGTTTTATTTTTCCGACTCTTACCTTCAATCTAAATGTTATCTCTGAGCAAGATCCTTGCCGAAATTCTACTTGATCAAATGACTGGGTTTCGTATAAATTACTATGCACGATAGAATAATCTTTGTCGTGAACTTGTAAAGAACGTCAAAAACAAAACCGGGTACTGCTTGCTGAGATCCTATCACTCAGTTTTGTTGGGAAGGACAGCCTTAGATATGTCGTTTCGCTAACCATAGCTACTCTCAATCATTTTCCTTTCAACAGCACCATAATTTGTTGGATGGAGCGATGTCCTTCTATTAGGTGGCGAGATGTAGTCAAGATCCGTAATTCCAAACTTGGGAGAAGTTTGCTCTGCTCATTTTTAGCATCCCTTCCCATGCTTTTATTTCGAGTCGAACTTTAAAGAAAGAAGTCGTTGACGTCAAAGTAGCGTCGCATCATCGTGACAAGAGGGAGTGATAATACCATATTGGTTCAGATGAGGCGATATATTACCATATATTCACTATATTCATGAAAATCGTATTTTGAGAAAACTTTTTCTTAAAACCATTTGTTCTTTAGTAGGAATCATCAATGGTTGTTTTTTGCTTTTTTATCGGCACCTCACCACGCAGAGCTCGATAACAACTAGTGTTTGTTATTACCGGGCAAGCAAGTGGTGTTGAACTGAGAAATCAAGAGTGGAATTTTCTAATTCGCTGGCAAATCCTTGGCGGTATCGTAAGGACCGAAAAATCCAAGCTTCTTGAAGGATTGAGAGTTAGTGGGACGAACGACAAATGTTGATAGGGCGAGGTTTCCAGAGGAAACATATTTTGTTAAGTTAGTATCGTTGTGATCCCACTCGACATTTTTTTCGTCCAGACCTTATAACCGTAAATATGAACAGATTTCGTCGCTTTTCCGCACAGGCATGGAATAATGACCTTATTAGTGGTATGAAAAAAATACCCCTCATCAATACCTTACCGGGAGCACTAATAAGAGGCGAGCATAACAATCAAGATCCTTACGACTACTGATATTATAAATGAAAGGAATAACTAACAATGATGTCGGAGTTTGCAAAGCCGCGCAATCCAGTAACTCGTTCTACGACTTGTAACAAAGCTGTTAAGGTTTTACTACTGAGAAGTTCTCCATTTAAAGCTAGTACAAAAACTTTACTTGTCATTGATTTTCTCTTTGGATAGACAATGATAGGATTCATTTATTCACCGGAATTGGTCTAAGGTTACACTTAGACTTCCGGAAACAAGGAACATCTTTTTGGTAAAAGGTTGCATTTTATTATATGCAATTTAGAAACAATACATAAGTACAAAAAAGAAGAGCAGCGTTAGTGTCATGTAAAACACAGGACAAAGCCGTCAGTCAACGATGAAGCTGCTCTCTCATCTCTTTGCTAACACAGATTGCATGCCTTGCCGCAGTACTGTCCCTTCTGCTGATCTGTGTAGAACGGATCTGTGCAAAAGCCGTGCTTCACCCATGATGAACAGCTGGAAGGGACATGAATCGTTACCACCTATAATGCTATAGGAAGAAAACTTCAAAGAGTCACACTTTCTTTTTCATGCTATCACAGAAAACAAATAAGAGTAATGAGACTGATGGCATATCCTTTCTTTCGGTAACATTTAAACGATAGGATTAAGAAGACTAGGCTTACCTTGGCTCGTTACCACATGCACCTCCACCGCCCGGTGCTGAAACAATGTAAGTTCAACCATATGATACGTTTGTCACTCATACAACTTCGAAAGTATTTAATTTAGCCGTTCACGTTAGTATAAATATGATCTCAGTCCTTGTATTTTTTTGGAAAAAGCGAGAAGTATTGGAGTTTGTCGATGTTTGTCAACAAGATAAAACTTTCACGATTGTAGCATTATAGCAGTAATGAAGTCCTAAATTTTCGGGATGAGGAATGTTTTCGCATAATACCATGCCATAGGCAATAAATACGAGGTAACTACACTACGATTTACAATACAGCTTCAGATTAACTGGGTCCAATGCCGATTTGAGCTTTCCAGGTCAATCCCGTTGACGGGTGATTGTTGATAGCACCTATAGGTTAAAGACAGCCGAGAGAAAGGCGAAACGAAAAGCGCGCAAGGCGTGGTGGTGAATGCGTTAGCCTCGGAAAGGGTAATAGCGTATTTGATTCCCACCGCAAAGACCTGCTGTGCAGAGTTTTGCAAATACCTCAGCCTCTTGTGGTTATATTTCACATAATACCCTGCTATAGGCAATAAATAAGAGGCAACTACAGCAGATCTTCTTTGTTCGCTCGTTCAAGTTTAAGTGCAAGACAACGAAATCAGTGAATGTTTCTGTGGCTATCACGTATATGTCACAGATTTCCAATTTTCGTTCCTCTTCAAAAAATCTTAAAAACCAGATTTTGAACAATTAAAGAAAATAGCATTTCAAAGAAAAATTGTATATTCTTAATGCGCAGGATCGAAGCTTTGTCTACAGGACAGCCAAGTTTTTAAGGTTTCATATGCTCAAACTATCTTAAGATTTTAGAAGAAAGCCTGCTTTATGGCGAATATTTTGGTAATGCACAGCGGAAAAAATACTTTTCAATTTCTGACAACTTATCGACTACTTACAAGCAGTTGTAATAGTAGCAGTGGTAGAAGTAGGGCTATCAGAAACCGCACTTGGCCCGACACAGTTTTCCTAGAGAGAAGGAACATCTTCAGAATATTCGTTATATAATTTCATAATTTTCAACATTTGATTTATAAAGGAATTGCCACGACCGACTTTCTATTAACCTCGGCATTGATCAAGTGATTTTCTTCGTATTTTTGTTGAGCAAACGCGA